CGTCCCTTCTCTTCCCTTCCGAGTCCTCCGTTGCGTTAAACGGCCGGCGGACTTTTACACCTGCTGTAAACCCCTGTAAACCGGTGTAAACTCTCGCCCGGAAATTTCCCCCGAAGAAAATCCCCGGAAACAAAATTTCAATCGACCCTCCCTCCGATGGGATTTTTATTCATCGACGTTATTATTCAATGTTTAAACTTAAACCACGCGGAATTAGCTAAATATGTTTATCTTGCCTGAAATAATTGCCAAAGTAGCTCAGCTTGATTTTTTTCCATGTTTCTTATTCTATCTAAAATTTCTTTCGTTGCACTTATTCTACCTGAAATTTATTATCATTGTGTTTAATTATTTTTGTATTAATGTTTGGATAACATCACGAGAAATTTATGTTGCATTTACATCCCTCAATGCATTCAGACGAGATAAATCCGCATTTTGGATGCACCTGCACCCCCTTCTTCGTATCAAAGTGACGAGTGCAGTTTCGCTGCACTTACTCTACCTAAAATTTCTTATCATTGTGCTTAATTATTTTTGTATTAATGTTTGGATAACATCACGAGAAGTTTATGTTGCATTTACATCCCTCAATGCATTCAGACGAGATAAATCCGCATTTTGGATACGCCTGCAGTCATCTTCATATTAAAGTGACGAGTGCAGTTTCGTTGCACTTATTCCACCTAAAATTTATTATCATCGTGTTTAATTATTTTTTTATCAATGTTTGAATGCCATCACAAGAAGTTTATGTTGCATTTACATCCCTCAATGCCTTCAGACGCGATAAATCCGCATTTTGGATGCACCTGCATCCACTTCCTCATACCGAAGTCGCGAGTGTCCTCGTTGCACTCTCCCGGGACTCGCGGATATTTCTGCATACGAATGGCCCACATTTTATGCACGTCTCGAGAAATGCACTTCTCGCCCCGGAAAACCTCACTTCCGGAGGGCAATTTTCCCGCGGCCCGCTAAATTTCCCACGGTATATACGTCCGACAGGAATTTTTTCGACCCTCGCGAAACTCTGCGACATCATTTTTCCCCGCCTCGGGAAATTTCATTTCCTAAGGCAACTATTTTTCCCCGCTTTATCTGACATCCAGGAGATACGATAGAAATGTTGAAATCTTAAAAATTGGTCATTGAAGCTCCTATTGAAAATGATTGAAAAACCTCGGAAAACTAGAAACTCGGGGGAAAAAAAAAAAAGAATGGCGACGTAACCGGAGGGATTAATTTATCGTCGGCGGCGGATGAATTCCATTTCGGAATTTCGTTTTGAAATTCAATTATACCTGGCCGAGGGGGAATTAATGCATCGATCGATGCGCGATTTTAATCATAATCTCTCCCTTGGCTTTTTGGGCCGGCTGCGAAACAATGCGCTTTACATTCCGAAAAATATGAAAGAAAAAGGAAATCCAACAACTTCTCCGTTATTTTCCTTCTCAAAATGTCAAACCATGGGAAATGTATTTTCTCATAATTTTAGGCGGCCATTATTTTCCTTTTCTCTCTTCTTTTCGGCAGGAAAGGATGATTTTTATTTATAAAATGTCTAAGTCTCGTGGACGTTAAAATCTTCGTCTCCATTGAAATTACCGTCCACTCGTAAAGCTTTCATCCAATTGTTTGTCAACGAGAAAAGTTGGCAGGAAATTAGGTTTTCCCGCGGATAATTATAATCCCGAGAGTTGGTAATTGGTTTTAATATTTTAATCACAGATTTTCCCGTCTCGGTGGTCGCGGGAACAAAAAACAAAGAGAATTTCGCCGATTTGCAAGAGTGGCTTGCAGCAGGTGTAAAAATGCACCCGGGTGCACCGATTTAAATGCAGTCGCGACACGGTCGGCTGGGGAATTTTTTTCGATTTTTGAAAAAGCTTCGCCATGCGTGTCCGCCATATTGCTCCGAGCTCGCGTAGCGAATTTTCCGAAATTTAATTTATTTAACGCAATTCGCTTATCCGGCCACTCGACCATGTCATTACGAGTACGACGAAATATCGAAATCTCGTAATTTCGGATTTTACGGCGGGAATTAATTCCTAATTAAATCCCTCCTAAATTAAATTCATCTCTCTTACAGTCCGCTCTATGCAGGTCGCGATGTAATATTTAAATGAACTCTTCCGGGATTTTTTTTACATTTTTTTTTTCAAGTAATGTCAATCGTAATTTCCGATTTTACGTCGGGAATTAATTCCTAATTAAATCCCTCCTAAATTAAATTCATCTCTCTTACAGTCCACTCTACGCAGATCGCGATGCAATATTTAAATTAACTCTTCCGGGATTTTTTTTTACATTTTTTTTTTCAAGTAATGTCAATCGTAATTTCCGATTTTACGGCGGGAATTAATTCCTAATTAAATCCCTCCTAAATTAAATTCATCTCTCTTACAGTCCGCTCTATGCAGGTCGCGATGTAATATTTAAATGAACTCTTCCGGGATTTTTTTTACATTTTTTTTTTCAAGTAATGTCAATCGTAATTTCCGATTTTACGTCGGGAATTAATTCCTAATTAAATCCCTCCTAAATTAAATTCATCTCTCTTACAGTCCGCTCTATGCAGGTCGCGATGTAATATTTAAATGAACTCTTCCGGGATTTTTTTTACATTTTTTTTTTCAAGTAATGTCAATCGTAATTTCCGATTTTACGTCGGGAATTAATTCCTAATTAAATCCCTCCTAAATTAAATTCATCTCTCTTACAGTCCGCTCTATGCAGGTCGCGATGTAATATTTAAATTAACTCTTTCGGGATTTTTTTTCACATTTTTTTTCAAAGCCACCACAAAGCGGATCGTGGGAGCTAATTTTTCCGAAATTGGTATTTACAGGGGAAAAATCTCCATTTTGAAAATGTTTAATTCAGTCCCTCGCGGATTTCGCTCCGCTTTATGCATTTTCATTTTGGCTCAACTTTCCCTCTGATGAAATTTCGGATATGTGGGAGTTGGACGGCTCGTTCTTAAAAAGGAAAAGGGAGGAAAAACACGGGAAAGTGTCGCCGGGGGAATGTATGGATCTCATTTCCACGAGGATTTTCCATATTCGAGGGGTGGTCGAATTCGAATTTACATGTCAGTGGTGGTTTACAGGGGGTGAAAGCTCGCCCTGGGCGTGCTTTTTAATGCATGAGATCGAACGAGGGTGTATAACCATGCCCATGGATTTATTAAATCCAAAGAATCACGGAAATGTACTAAAACTCCGCAATTTCAGTTAATGAATTTAAATATATAAAAAAAATAAGGGGAGCTTAATAAAATCGGGAAAAAATTCCGATTCACCTTAAACGACGTAAAAGAGAGAAAGAGAGATCTTGGCGATCTGGTTTCCGTACAAACGCAATAAAATCCGCAGGATTATCGGCCAATCGGTGGTATGTCTGGAAATAGATTCTGTGTCATCGGCCAATGAGGCACTGGATGTCCATGAAGTTTCCGATCTAGGAATTAGGCCATTCGCGATTTATCCGACCCTACATCGAAAAAAGAAGAAAAAAAAAGAAGTAATAATCGCACGGAAAAAATATCGTTTCCAATCGAAGAATAATTATTTCCCGGGGATCTCTTACGTTTCCGGAAGTCGAGTCGAATTTATTCGAATTTATTCCAGCCGAAATAATTGTTTATTTTTAATTTACAACAATGTCTTGTTTAATTTACAATAATGGTTCGATGGCGATTACTTTTTCGGCATCGCTTTCGACATTCTCGCGATATCTCGAAATCCGCGGAAATAATTCTAAAAAATATCCCGCCTCCGATCCCGAAGACCTTGACTTTATTTTTTCCTCCCTTTTCTTCATTTCCGGTCAAGGTTGGATTTTCTATTCTATTCGTTTTCATTTTTATTTCCATGATCTTCGGCGAGTTGTCTGATTCAGGGGGGATAAAAAAGAACTGGACAATACGTGGAGGATGCTTTTGGAAAACGTCCAACGTGTTTTTTCATTCTCTTTTCCACTTTTATCGCCCATGATTTCCGGATTTGGAGAAAATCCAAATGGTGGGACGTCGAGAGGAGCCATTCGAAAGAATTTAAACGTTCTTTTTTCGGGCGAATTTAAAAATTCCGAAATTTTAAGAGGACTCTTTTGTAGATTTTCAAAATGTTCCAAATTTGACTGGTCCTTCTTTTTGCACTTGTTAAGCGCGATTTCCCGATTCGGAGGAAATCCAAATCGTCCACAATCGGGACCCACTTGGAAGTTTTCCAAAATTCCAAATCGCATCTAAATGGAGATAGCGAATCTCTTGTTGGCAAAACGTGTCATCCCATTCCTAGGCCTTCCCTGTATCTCTCCATCTCTTGCTTTTCGACCATTTAAAATAGCAAGTAATTTGGCAAAAGTTCAACCGAACGAAAGATTCGACACACGACAGGAAATTATAATCGGACCCGACATAAAAACCTCAGAATTCGCCGCAAAATTCAGAGCCACTGGTATTTTCGCAAATGGAAATTCCTGCACGTTCCCTCTCCCTCTATTCTTCCAAAAACCCGATAAAAAAAGGAATGGGACATTTGGGGAAAAAAAATAGAAAATCTCTAATGACCAGACTTCACTTGACGCGTCCATTAGGCCGTTCGAAAATCGGGAGAAAATCTATTTCTAAAGTGGGCCACGTCAGATTTAATTTCCCCGCTGTCTCGGATGTCCCGGCTTCCATAAAGCTGTTGTTTCCCCATAAATAAAAAAAAAAATAGAAAACAGGGGGAAACGGAAAAGGGCCGGATTTCGTTACGGGGGCGTTGACGTAGGGCGAGAGGCACGTTCCTCGGTGTAGTTCGCGAGAAGCGTTTCCGAGGTAATTTTAGATCGGTAAGATAGCGTCCGAAGGAGAGAGAGAAAGAGAGAAAGAGGGAGGAAGAGAAAATGGAAGAGAGAGAGAGAGGAGAGACAAGGAGGGCGAACCGAGAGAGAGGATCGAGACCGAGTGGTCCCTCGGACGCAGTTATGCCGGCCACCTCGAACAGTCTGCCTGTTGCCATCGAACGTTCACACTTTTTTAACACTTAATCCGGTGAACATTTCGTGAAAAGTGCCGATTTAAGGTTTTCACACATTCCATACAGCATTTTTGGATTTTAGAAGGGGGTTGAACCGCTTTGAACTTCATGTTGCGTGTTCACAAGGTGGAGGATTAAATGGTAGTGGAATATCGAGCAGTCTGCCGCTTGATATCGAACGATCACAATTTCTTTAAATTTTTTTCACAATCCTTATTTTTTTTAAATTTATTATAGTCGTAATTTCAATCACACATAAAAGAAGATACATGCGAAACTATTTTTTAAAAGACATGGATGACAAACTCGAGCACGAGGTTATCTATTCGAGTTCGCCGAGCATGTACTTGGTGCGCGACTCAGCCGGCCGAGTCTCTTTACGCGAACCATCGCTATCTAAAGTCTGTCGAAAAATTGTAAATGGAAAGAAAAAAAAAAAATCGTAAAAAATCCCTGACGATGTCCGATAACGTCTGCGAGTCGCGGGTCGAGGAAAGAGTAGGCGGAAGGGAGTCGAACCAAGCCAGAAGCGGTCTGAAGAGGTGATAAGAGGCGATAAGAGGGCACTTAAGGCCGGCGAAAAGGGCACGTAAAACGAGGGGAGGACTCGCGAGGGAAAGGGGTTTGGCGAATACGTGATCGCAAGTCGGCCGTGGGGAATGAAGGGCGAAAAAAGGGAGGAAAGGGAAGAAGAGGGAGAAAGGGGGGCCGGAGTCGAGCAGTGAGTTACATCTCTAGTAATCCGTCAATCAAAGTCGGAAAAAGGAACGACAGCCGAGGATTTCTCGGGGCTGACTCACCGCGCCCTTTTATTCGCGTTATTTCGGGAGAAATGATAAATAAACAACGAGGAGGGCCCCAAGGAACCGAAACTTCTGACTTCGCTTTTTACCGACCATTATTTATCCATCTTATCCGACTCGGCATAAACAATACATCGAATGCCGGGGATATAACAAAAATGCATATAATCGATCAATTCGTCGTTTCCGCAGATCGGGAAATTTCTTACCCCCTTTTTATCGCCCCTTCATGAAAAATGCATCTCGAGTGGAAAGGAAAAATGTGTGAAAATTTACCGCATTTCCCGAGAAATCATTTTCAATATACAAATTACCTGCTAATTAACTTTTCGATTTTTTCTCGACGATCGATATCAATGAGCGGAAGGAATATATTAAAAATCCAATCGGCACCCTTATCGGCGATGCAAAAAAAAAATCAAGGAATCGTTTTTCGTCTCACTTGCAATCGAGGAAATTTCCCTTTTGTATCCCAGAGGAAAATTGGGGGTGAAAAAAAAAAAAGGAAAATCTCTCGTCGACACCACTCGAGGAGGTTCGCAGTTCCTCCCGGAAGCGTCTCTTGAACAACGAGGAATCGATACTATCGAATTCAATTTTCCGAGAGCGAGGAGCCTATATACATGTCCGTATGTATTCGCACGTGTACATGTATATGTATTCGACGAATCGGAATCCCATTGGAAGGACCCTTTATAAACGGCGCCCCTTTTGTAGAGCGTCGCGACGCCATAGCTGCAGACGACAATCGTCAGACAGTTATTCAAGGGTCCTCGATGGACTTCGATATTCGAAGATCGATCGAGAGAGAAGTCGAAGTGCCCTTGATCGAATCTACGAAACTCGACCCCCCGCGAATAGTCATTGGAAAGTCTCAATAAAGCAAATCAATTGTGCGGTACCGTTTCTATTTTTTTTTTTTTTTTCATCAACATTAATATTTTCCATTTTCCGAGGGCGCAGAAAATTTCTTTAATTCGACCGTAGATTGAAATTCATCCCAAAAAAATTCAAAAATTCCAAAATTATTGGGAAAAATTTGACAATTTAATATCAGTATGTATTTCTTATCGATAATCGACATTTGCGTGCTTTTCGAAATTCTAGAGAAACATTACAGAATTTCATATCGATATTGATTTTCACCCCCGATCGGAATTTTTCCAAATTATCGAGAAACTCATCCCGTCCTAAACTTCAAGTCGCAGCCACTGCGACACTTAAGATTCATCCCCGAAATCTCGAAAGTTTGATCTGGACCCTAAAGGGTTGGCCGACACCCCAGTCTGGAAGTTTGACATTGCAATTAGCCGGGTATTCCGATTCGATTTAATTAGCGAGACTTCGCCCCGCTTTTGAGGTACCCTCCATATCCCAGGAGGAGGAGGGAAACCTCCAGGGAAAGTCTCGCCCCTTTTTCACTTTCTTCAGGGAAAGTTACGGGGGGTGTTCCCCCTGGAATTCCTGGAGCAAAACCACCCCCGCCTTGAAAATCGACCATCGAAGGCGAACGGGAATTCCAACCACCTTATGGGGGGTCAAAGAAAAATTCAGGACCCCATAAGGACCTTGACAAATTTTATTACTCAATGGAAAACACACCCTGGACCTCCGGGTTATTAAATAAAAATTCAAGAAGCAAACTTTATGCATTCTAGAAATTTTACTTATTTTTTAACAGTCTCTGGATTATTCGTTTTATCCCAAAGCCATATCCGAAATACCGGCCGGCACTTTTAATAATTTATTGGGGTACTCCCTGATTGTTTAGATTAAACGAAATTATTTGTACATTTTTATTTGCTTTTTATTGCCTTTGGAGGTCCATTCGCGATCGTTCTGTCAGCGGCCCCTCTAAGTGCATCTGGCTTGCATCGAGTTCGCGCCCCTGAAATGCACTTTTGGCAGAATCGCCTCGACACCTCGAAAATAGATCAATTCCACCTTAAAATTATCGATCTCCGTATAAAATAATAAAACCTCGGAAAAAGTAAAATTCACGTAGGAACTTCGACATGAAAATTAAGCGTATAGAAATTTTACCATCGAAATTAAAAAAATGCAAATTTTAACATGAAAATTAAGTATACTGGAAATTAAACAAATGCAAATTTTAATATGAAAATTAAGTGTATAGAAATTTATCAAAATTAAACAAATGCAAATTTTAATATGAAAATTAAGTGTATAGAAATTTTCCCATCGAAATTAAACAAATGCAAATTTTAACATGAAAATTAAGCGTATAGAAATTTTACCATCGAAATTAAACAAATGCAAATTTTAACGTAAAAATTAAGTATACTGGGGATGCACCTGCCCCATCAGGGTCGCATTGACATTGCATCCGGAAATGGTTAAAATCCTGCAGAACCATTGACGATGGGCTCTCTCGTTCGCTCTTCGACATTATACATCTGGAAAGCCACTCCGATTCCCGTTGGAGCTTTACGGCCCCGGCCAATAAGCCGCCCGGTTTCATAGGGGATTTCCGGTGGATCGATTCAAGAACCCCCCACATTCAACCCCCTAGATCGCTCGATAACCGACCGGTCTGTTTTCGCCATTCAATCTCGATATAAAGTGGAAGAAAATATGGAAATATAGAAAAATTCCACTGCGTTTCTTTCCTCGAGCGGATTCATAGGGAATTTCTGGTGGATCGATTCGAGAACCCCCTAGATGACTGGATAACCGACCAGTCTATTTTCGCCATTCAATCTCGATATAAAGTGGAAGAAAATATGAAAATATAGAAAAATTCCTCTCCGTTTATTTCTTCGAGCGGATTCATAGGGAATTTCTGGTGGATCGATTCGAGAATCCCCTAGGTCGCTCGATAACCGACCGGTCTGTTTTCGCCATTCAATCTCGATATAAAGTGGAAAAAAATATGGAAATATAGAAAAATTTCTCTCCGTTTATTTCCTCGAGCGGATTCATAGGGAATTTCCGGTGGATCGATTCGAGAATCCCCTAGGTCGCTCGATAACCGACCGGTCTGTTTTCGCCATTCAATCTCGATATAAAATGGGACAAATATATGAAAAAAAAATAAAAAAAAAGTCCTCTCCGTTTCTTTCCTCGAGCGAACGGAAGAAAAAATGGGAATACTGAATAAAAAATTTCTATTCCGATTTTTTATTTAACATAAAGAGTTAAAAGTAAGAATAAAGAGAACAGAAGTTTCCTTCCTCGAGTGAATGGCAAAAAAAGGGGGGGGGGGAATTTTCGAAGGACCTCCATCCTGGATTTTTATCTTCAGCCCAGGTTTAACTTTATCCCATTTTCAGAGAAGCCGGAAGTGGAGACGGAAGTGAAGCGAGGAGGAAAGGAAAGAGGAACGAAACGAAAGCCGGAAGAGGAAGGAGGATAAATCACGGAGGTGCTCAAAGATCGGCACATGTACCGAGTGCATGGAGTGCATCGAGGTATGTACTTCTACATGTCCATATGTATATAAGAGAGCTCTCTTCCAAATACATTAGTACATATGTATACATATATATGTACACACGGGCGTGTAAGTATATTTGCCGTATTCCGCAGAAACAGAAAGAGAGAGTCCCAGAAAAAGGAGGAGGAGGTTTAATATCCTGCAGGATCCAGCCAGGAGACATTAATGTACGCAAGCCTGCCAAAAGGAAATGACAAAAGGAGACGAAGGACTCTCGTTCGATATAAAGGCGCGATTATCGCGATTCCGAGGTAATTAATAAAATGCAATATGAATTTCCAGAGCAAGAATGGAAATTCAAGGAAACTGGATTTCCTTTCTCTCTCCCTGACGAATTTTCTTCCTTTTTTCTAATTTTTTTTTTTTTTAACAACGGTGAAATAATTCTCTTAAAATTATGAGTATAATATTTCATATTTCGAGAGGGGAAGAAATAATTTCTTCTAGGCGAGGAAAATGAAACGATTCATTTTTTTTTTTTTTTTCTCGAGTTGGGGAAATAAGGGAAATGATTTTCTAGGGTTTGTTAGGGAGGAAAAGAATTTCCTTTTTTTTTTTCCTACGGAAGAAAAAATTTTCAGGATAAGGAGGGAGTTTGTATTTATTTTTAATATATACCGTGAAGAGGCGCCGAGATGAAAGGGGTGGAAAGGGGGAAAGAGGGGTTTAATATCCTGCACCATCCAGCCAGGAGCCATTAATGCATGCACGTGGCGCCGCCAACCGGAAATGACAAAAGGAGACGGAAAACTGGAGGATAGAGGTGCGACAATTACGATATCACACGAGGTGTCTGATAAGGAGGCAGCGAGCTGAGGAAAAGGCGGAAATTAATCCGAAGGGGAAGGAGCGAACCTTTAATTCCGATAAAGAGGAGGAAAAGAGGAAGAAAAGAAAGTACATCGATAATTGAAGAGGAACACGAGATAATCTCGATTGAACGGTATCGGTAAATATTAAATTCATATCGGAGAACATTGAAATCAAAAACTAAGAGAAGCGACGAAAAGACAAGTCTTAGAAAATGTAGAGATGTACAAGGATTAATAAACGTGAGATGTCGAGTCATTAAAATCGGACATTTGATATTTATTAACCCTTTGAATACGGAGCCGTTTCGACATATGGGCGAAATTCCTCTGACCGTGCAGGGGATATTGGACCAAACGTCGGGCGCTCGTAGCAGCCAAGGGGTTAATCCTTGTTAATCCGTAAATAAATGTGAGATGGACAAATTATTGGAATTAAAAATTACGCGAAACGAAGAAGCACGGAATCATAGAAAATGAGATATTGGTGAATATAAAGAAAATATTAAATTTTCAATCCGGAATATGTTTCATGAAGTGGAGTCGGTAAGGCAGAGATCTGTTGGCTAAAGCTCGAGGAACTCGAAGAATGTCAAGAGACAACGACGGAGCCGGCTAAATGAATTAACGTCGCAACTTTGTCAAAGGAGTTCCTGCCTCGCTGTGCAGGAAGTGCGTCATTTGCCAAATCAAGGGAGAAGTTCGCGGGGGATCCCGCGGGATCCCCGGGACCCCCCGCGAGGGTAATTAACCTCGGGAACAGTTCGTCAAAAAATTAATTCCCCCGCTAGGAACATCGAAGAACAATTTTATCAACTACGGTGCATCTCCATTTTCTCGTGAGATTTAAACAACAATGAAATTAATTAACGCTGCTTCGTATTTCCACATACCGGGGATATTCTATAATTTCCCTGAAAAATTATTAAAAATTGTACAAAATTGGGATTCTTTCAATTTAACGCGATACAAATTGTCCGGCATTTCCGACCGGCAGTCTTATCAATTTTAATTAACTACACGCTGCAGGAAATTTAATAAAATTAATTTAATAAAAAATTGCCATCCTTTTACTTACTCTACTTTTGTTTATATCTCGAAATTAGGAATATATTTTGCGATATATATTCGGAAATTGAGGGCAATTCGGCGAGTTGCAGGTCATACCCAAAACTTGGCCGATTAAAGCAAGCCCGGGTTATTGTTTATCGTTATTACACGTCCTGTCGCAAATCGAGGACTGCAAATTAGTCGTAAATTATTATTCCAGGATATTCGAGAATTCCCGCTCGCGAAAGTGAACTTTGCCAACTCCCGGGGGACTTAATCGCCCTAAGGTGCAGACCTTCGGATAATTCCTCTCGGGGCGTAAATGTTCATTAGAGACACTTTGCCGATAAATTAGCCTCCCCCCCTCGACACCCCTAAGATGCCCCTCGCCCCCGATAAACAACGAAACACGAGACGGCAAAATGAAATCCATAAATAATTAAATCCTCCATTTCTCATTCTAATTCCTGATTTTCCAACAACTCTCAATTATTCACCAAAATTTTCCAACTTCTCCCTGATAAACAATCGAAAAATTATGGGGGATTTTCCACGTTATTAATTTAATAATAATTCATCATTTTATTCCAGGATTTTCTTCAAGGAAGTGGGGTTTGTTTTCTGAGTGGTAATCAATTTTTCGAAAGTCGAAGGATATGGGGAAAAAAAAAGGAAAATCGATTGGAAAAAAGGAAAAAGGAAGGGAAGTCGGTCTTCCGGTGGCGGCGGAAACGAGGGAAATAAATCCCCTAGGATCAGACTGTCGCAAGTCGAGCTCTCGAATAAATCGGTCGAGAAGATCCTGAAAAAAGGAGCTGGATGAAAAATTCCCGAATTCGCTCGAGCGAACTGATAACCGGAAGTAAACCGCGGCCGGAAATCAACCCCTGAGTAACGAGGGCGCGAATTGCGCGATAAGGAGGCGCAATTTTCGGAGGGAATTTCTCAGCAGATCTTCTCGGCCGGAAGATAAGGAAAAAAATGAGAAATTCTTTCGCGAGAGAAATTTCCCGTGGAAGCTGGAAAATTCACGCTTCCCGGGAGCCTCACAAATAAATGCGGAAAAAGATAATTAAAATAATAATTCCTAAAAACCTCGAAAAATGTGAAGGACATGAAAATGTTGAATTCGGGAATAGAGGGATAAATGTTATGAAATTAATTATCAGTTTTTGCATTTTCAGTCTCTTCGCCGGAGTGCGTGTTAAATTAATTATCCTCCGTCTCTTTTTTCCAGGACTCGGGATCTCCGACCTCGACATCCTGATCTAGGGAAATTTGTAAAAGACCATCCCGAAGGATCTCCAATCTGCAAACGATGATAGCTCTCGCAATAATTGGACAGATGCCAATTAACTGTCGATTGATCGAGAGAGGAAGATGCAAGAGGGACAGAAAATGCGGTGAAAAGTCACGAATAAGACGGCGAAGAAAATCGGCAAAGTCGAAGAAGAGGAAGCGAGATATAAGACCCGGCTGTTGAATATCGACCTCGTTCGAGATACCTTCAGGATGATGACTGGTCCAGGAGTAGGAGTCCCAGGAGTTGGGATGCTGAGGACTCGAAGGAGGGACATCAGTGTCAAACCCAACAGGAGACTCGACCGGAAGTCATCCCGAGGGATGATTTACGAGAACGAGGAGCTTCGGTTGAGGACCATCAATATCAACGCCGAGGTGGAGCAAGGTAATCGAAGCTGATAACAAAATTAGCCATCTTAAAGTTTCCCTCTTAACCCTTTCAGCGCTAAGCCTCTACGGCGTAAGGGCGAAATTCATCAAGGCGTGCAAGCGATATTGGACCAAACGTCGGACGCACTTATGTGTCCATAGCGCTGAAAGGGTTAAAAAAGAATTAAAAAATGGAGATGTTCATCCCAGGATCGAAAGGAATCTCAAGTATTCTGAACAGTGGAATTCCACGTGAGAATTGAGGACAAAAAATTTAAGCGATTCATTTCAAGGATCGAAATTGATTAATAGGTGAAAATACACTCTGAACGATGATATGAATTTCATGGGTTTTCTCGTGAGAAATCATGAAATCTCAAGAATTTAACTTAAATTAGCATAAATTGAAAGCGTAGATCAGAAAAAAAAATTTTCCTTCAAAATTTCATCCTGGATCAAACTTCCCCCGGAAGTCGATGAAGTAAATTTCATGGGTTTTCTCGCGAGAAATCATGAAATAGCATAAATTGAAAGCGTAGATCAGGAAAAAAAATTTCCTTTCAAAATTTCATCCTGGATCAAACTTCCCCCGGAAGTCGATGAAGTAAATTTCATGGGTTTTCTCGCGAGAAATCATGAAATGTCAAGAATTTCACCAAAATCAGCATAAAGTGAAAGCGTAGATCATAAAAAAAATTTTCCTTTCAAAATTTCATCCTGGATCGAACTTCCCCCGGAAGTCGATGAAGTAAATTTCATGGGTTTTCTCGCGAGAAATCATGAAATTTCAAGAACTTCACCTAAATCAGCATAAATTGAAAGCGTAGACCGGAAAAAAAAATTTCCTTTCGAAATTTCATCCTGGATCGAACTTCCTCCGGAAGTCCGAGGGATCCTGGAAGTCCATCTACGAAATTTTGGGAAGTTTCCGGCGGTTAATGTGGCAAGCCTGAGTCGAGGGGTACAGAGTGCTCGGCCACAAATAGACATGCCACGATGTACTGGACCCGACATACACGAGCTACCAAGCCCGGTCAACTATTTTCGAAACCTGGTCGCCATTGCGGTTTTGTCCAGTCCCGAAGTAGCTCTCCATAGAATGCCAGCCTTTCCCTGTGCGCGATATTGCCTCGGACAATTGTTAATTACTCTGCTTTGAAACCGGAAAAAAAGGAAAACAACGAAAAAGAGGAACCGAAAAAACGCGCCCCAAAAAGCGACGCGTGGACCGATCGAATTCTTCCAAAACCATTTTTTAAATAATTTAAATAAATAAAGAAAGTAAAGTGTGACCGGACCGAAGTGAAGTTTTGGAAAGATAATGGAAGAGGGTAAAGACGCGAGGAGAATTTGAAGAGGAAAGGGTAAGACACGTGGGAATTAATTTTACTAACAGGGCACGAGCAGATTTTGTAAGAAATTAAAAAAATTCAGGAATTGAATCGAAAATTTGCTTTTTCTTACCCCTGGTGTTCAAAATGACCGCCGTAGTTCGGGACAGGGATACCAACCTGAAAAAACAATCAGGGGTTATTCAGGAAAAAAAAGAGTCGAGTCGCGATCAATTGGGAATTGCATACAAATTTCAGGATAATGTCAAATCTTTATCATTCGCATTGATTACACTAATTTGTTCGGTAGTTTATTGAGGAGGGTTTGAATTTGACGAAAAATTGTTATTCTCGAACTCGAGCCATAAGGTTCAGTTTCGCGGGTAGAAGTCACGGGAATCTCGACCAAACGCTCCACTAGGTCCCATCAGCGTGGTGTACATTTTTCCTCTTCCTCTTCTCCGACTTCCATACTTGAACATATCTCCATAAGGTCGAATTTGGCGGGCCTACGTCGTGCGAGTCTCGACCAAACGTTTCGTAAGATCTCATCAACGCAACGGGAATTATTTTATCCTCGGATCGGATTTCCCTACTACTCTTCCATAAGGTCGAGTTTGGCGTGCCTGAGTCGCGGGAATCTCGACCGAATGTCCCGCGGCCTCGTCGACGCGGTGCAAATTTTCTCTCCGGCGCTCTTCGAAGCGCAGCCGAAAGCTCGGAAGCGCGAAGGAAGCTCGTCAAGCTGTGCAAGTACAAAAGATTTAAATAGTTCCGAGATCACCGCGGATTCTGGCTCGGGGAAAGCCTCGTGGAGGGGGGAAAAGCTCTGGCGGGGGTGGAGGCGTCCTCGAGTAGTCCGTCCGAAAGCTTAAAACCAACAGCACCGGCGAGCTTTTAAAGCTCCGGGGCTCCGCGAGAAAAATCCGCCCTTTTCTCCGGTGTTATCGCGAGTCGCGGACTTTTTTATACAAGCGTCGACCTTCCCGCGATATTTCGGAGGGAAAAAAGCTCGCCGAAAGCTCGGGGAAATTATTTTCGGAGGCGCGCATTTTCCGAGAACTGACACACGCGTGGGCTGTGGCTTCAGAGAGGGAGGGAATTTTTTTTGCCATTCGCAAGCTCAAAATTTAAGCTCGAGGAGTCGAAATGATAAGTCCATACGTGTGCTTGTGTGAAAAACGAAAAAAGGGTCTATCGGAAAATTCCGGAGATTTATCAGTGCTTGAAAGCTCGGAAGCTTTGATTGACCTTCAAGAGTGAATCCAGACTTTTTAATCGGCGTGGAAAAGCCATTCGTCGCAAAATACCTCGTTTCGGAAAACTCGTGGAAAATCGTCGACGCAGAAAAGCTCGAAGGAAAAAGCGGAAGAATGCTTGATTCCGGAAATGGGCACGATGCACAGAAGGGAGAGGGACAGGACGAGGAAGAAGGGCAAGGAAAGTACGTGACGTCACAGAGAAAAAAATTTTTTTCAAAATTTCCAGCGCCTCCAAAAAAGCCCCCAAAAAATCCGAAATTTCAGGAACTCCTCGCGAATGCGCGGACTTCCTAAATATCGTTGCATTTTTATTTTTTAATCCCCGAGACCGCATTATAAATTCGAGGGCATCCCTCGGTGCAGTTTTTCCCCTCCTCGCAGGAACTCTCAATAAACCGAGACGACGAGGATAAATCAAAAAATGAAATAGAAAAAAAACAAAAAAGGCCGACGGGTCTGTCCAACGAGGGGCGCGGCAAAAATGCACTTTTTCACGAATGCACCAGCTGCCGGAAAGATATACGGCGGAATAGATGGCGGGACGTTTAAAAAGAAGCGGAAAAAGGGGGCTAGGGGAGTATAACGAAAAAGTGGAAAAAAAAAAAAGAAACCAGAAAATACGCCGACAAAATGCCGGGAAACAGTTTTTCAACGCGACTGCTCTGACACTGCCACCTGTTAAATCAACGATTCGGCGAAACCGTGAGAGCAAGGAATTTCAATTAATTTTTCTTAATATAATTAAACTCGCAAAATAAATCATTACAATAAAGTCACTCCTGTATTGTTCAATCTTAAAGAAATATTTTCACTCTAGCGATTCGGCGAAAACGCGAGAGCAAGGAATTTCAATTAATTTTTCTTAATATAATTAAACTCGCAAAATAAATCATTACAATAAAGTCACTCCTGTATTGTTCAATCTTAACGAAATTTTCTTACTCTAGCTACTAATGAATTTAAATTGATTTTAAATAGTTTTTATGAATTTTTTCTTTTAATAAAACCGGTGCTTAATTTCATTTAGACAAAGGTAATTTCGTGTAATTTCAACGGCAAAGCTTTGGCGGTGCCACATGTTATATACCGAGTATACACCGAGTTACTTCCGCAGCTTAATACATTTCCAATAAAATATTCCCCCCCTCCCCTTATCGAAAGCTCTCGATAATCGCTATCGAGCCGCTCATCGACCTCTGCAACGAAACATATAAATAACGGCTTTGGCTCTTTCGCAAAAAGTACCAGGAGACATTACCGTAATTACGAACCGAACAATTTACATCCCCATCGAGTGCGCCATCCCCTCCTCCCCTTCATGATACAATTTTATTCAATCCGAAACGAGAACCGACCCTTCGAATCGCGGAAAATATTCGACCGCGCTCGGAAATCGAATTTCGACCCTTAATCTCTTATCATGGAATTTTCCTTTATTTTTTTTTAATTTCTACAGTCCATGCGATTAAGAGGAATTTGTAATAAATTGTTCATTCTTAAGGAATTTTCTCGCTTGATCCCTTATCATGGAATTTTCCTTTTTTTTTTGTTTCTACAGTTCATGCGATTAAGAGAAATTTTAAATAAATTGTTCATTCTTAAGGAATTTTCTCGCTTGATCCCTTATCATGGAATTTTCCTTTTTTTTTTGTTTCTACAGTCCATGCGATTAAGAGAAATTTTAAATAAATTGTTCATTCTTAAGGAATTTTCTCGCTTGATCCCTTATCATGGTATCACATGTCGTTTCGGATGCAGGGAAAATTCCTCGGGAAAATTAATCACGACACCCGGGGATGTTATCAATATCTCGGAAACACTTCCGACAGTGATAAGGACGCAGAGAAATAAAAAGGGCATTTATTTCGAAACCGGAGTCGAATTTTTGAGAGCGTGGAATTTCGGATGCAGGGCAATGGGGTCGTGGAAATTCCTCGGGAAAATTAATCACGACGCCCGGGGATGTTATCAATATCTCGAAAAGACTTCCGGCAGCCAAACACATGAGCTGGGTGCAATCTATGGCAGCTTTTCGACTTTCGAGGGGGAAAAGCCAACGAGCTGCAAGGCCGGCCCGAGATATTCACGTGGTCGACGTCATCTCGAAGAATTTTCGTCGCCTCCACCTCGGGAAATCTCAGTCTTGACCCAGAACGACGGATTGCCAGGAGACCGAAAGTCGCGATATGAAAATCACTTGTCAGCAAGAAATTCTCCTCGATTCCGAATTTTTCCCGATTTTTCCTACATTTCCTCCAATCCTTCTCTAGAGACTAGTCCCGTTCAATAAATGCAACTTTTATGAATTAATTCAATTAATTAATTGGATGAAGGAATTAATGGAATTAATGGAAAGGAACAAGAATTTCAAGCTAGGAAGGAAATTAAGAAAGAGTGACAGCCTCATTTTTTAAATGAAAAAAAAAAAAAGAAAAGGAAAAACCTTATCAGCCAATGCAATTTCCGGGCGCGGAAGTCGTGATAAAAAAAAAAAAAAATCTCTCGATTGAGCGTCTCGAAAGTCGCTTTGATCAGCAGCGTCGATTCCGCGGGCGAGACAAATTGCAATATCCAGTTTTCCTCGAGTTTTCCGAGTCTGAATATTTATATCTACCGGCGACATCTTGTTTAAGAATTATTAATATCAAGAAACAACCGACATATACAGGCGAAGTTTAATGAAATGAAACATAACGAGAAAAAAAAATGAAAAGAGAGCAACCCGACATAAAAGGACGCTAATAGAGTTGCCAATCGGGAAAAGCCTCTTAGGACGTAATGACGAGTTTTCCTGCCTTATCAGACGTCGTTACGTTATCGATCCCCCTGGACAAAAGTCCCGACCGAGAGTCTCCGGATTAATTTTTCTCGGGGGAAATTTCTAAGTACATATATATACGTATATGTATTTATTTTTTTCCTCTGATCATTAACTCGTAGTTAATTATTCGCTCGTTGACTAGGGACTAATTTTAGCCCCTGGAACGATTGGCTAATATTTTTACGCCTAATCAGCCATCGGAAGCTGACCGGCCACATCAAAGAGCTATCCTATCTCGTTCAGGTTGGAAATAGAACGGAAAAACATTTCGACGCCGTCAAAATGGACGCGTAAATGGACCGTCGATATTTCCTGACGTGCCTTCGAAATCAGATATATTCGCCTGTCTACTCGCATTCGCCATCTACTCGCTCACTGCACCGGAAGGAAATCGCGGAAACACGAAAAAAAAAAAAAAGAAAAAAAACCCCCTCAAATTTAAATTTAATTTAATTTCACTGAAATTACAAAAAATCAGGAAAAAATCTTTAGACCATTTCCTCAATGTGCAATTTCTCTCCCGTGGATATAATTAAGAATTGAAAAGTGCAGGGAATTGTCAAATTCAGTTTTTCCTCAAAGAGGATGCTTCATGATTTTCCGAAGTTTCCGAAATTTTCAGGTCTCTTCGGGGAAGTATTGTTGCAATTTTTGGGATTTTGGGGAATTTCAAGGCTTCCTGGGATTCCTAGGGAAATTTCCCCTAGGGGATTAAGCGGACGGGGTCCCTAGCGCTCGACGGCGTCGCTCAGGGCCTCTAATAGGATCCCAAAATGGCGATCCGAATTTATGAACCGGCCGCCGCGAAGGGATTTAATTTATTTAAATCTCCTACTCGGCCGCGTATAAGCCGCCGCCTCTTTAATCCTGATTTAACACTTTGGCTTTTCTTGTTAACGCCGCAAGGATTAGGACGCCATGACGTCACGGAATGAGACGCCGACCGTCCATTAACGCGAGGCCGTTCATTTTGCGATTGTCTCTCGAGAGATGACTAAAATATCTGCAGAAAATTCCTTCATCTCCGAATCAGCTTCTAAGTGTTCATGGTGATTTTCATTTTTACCCCTCATGGTGAAACATCCTCGCAAGCAACAAAATGGCGACTCCACTGTTAGCCGCCCGCGGCGAGTCGGGAGAGTGATTTTAAAAAATCGTTTTCAATCAATTCCAGGCCAGAATGACATGAAAAACACTTGTAAAATTCACCTGACATCCTGAACATTTAAATAAATGACTTAAATCCCGACTTAAATCCCAAATTAGATGATAATTCTCATGTCTACCCTTCACAGTTAAATCTCCTCGCGAATACCAAGATGGCGGCTCGACCGATAGAGACTCGTGAGAATCCTTTTAAAAAAAAATCGTTTTCAATCAATTCCAGGCCAGAATGACATAAAAAACACTTGTAAAATTCACCTGGCATTCTGAACATTTAAATAAATGAGTTAAATCCCGACTTAAATCCCAAATTAGATGATAATTCTCATGTCTACCCTTCACAGTTAAATCTCCTCGCGGGTACCAAGATGGCGGCTCCACCGATAGAGAGTCGTGAGGATCCTTTTAAAAATTCTTTTTCGATCGATTCCAGGCCAGAACGACATCAAGAAGCTGCGCAGGGAGAACGAGCAGCTAAGACGCGAGATATGGAGCCTGAGAGACGAGTACGACAAGCTGGAGGAGATCCTGAAGAGTCAGAAGAGCCATGAGGGCAGCGACGACTACGAGGTCACTTCTTCCCCGCGTTTTCCGCTCTCCGTTTCTTCCCCTCGTACGTGAACCCGGAGTAGAAAAAAAAAGAAAAAATGCAAAAAAGGAGAAGGAATAACCTCCTCGGGGCGAGTAGAAGCGCGGAAACGAGGGCGGCTTCGAGGGCCTTGAAGAATGGCGTCCGCGTTTTAGGAACGAGGGTCATCCACTTCCAAGCGAGGTCGAGGGCGCTCTATTTCCGCTAGCGGGTGCACTTCCGTCCGCGGAATTTCCGCGAGACCCCCGAAGAGCAAGGAGGAAGCGGAGCGCGGAAAAAATTAGATTATTATAGGGAGAAAAAAAAAAGAACCAATCAATATGCTGGAAATTTTGGAAAAAGGTCCTCTGGCCGGGAAAATGAATTTCTCCTTGGAATTTCAGGGCCGCTACGACGACGACGACGACGACGAGGAAGAGGAGGACGGAGAAGAAGAGGACCTCTCAGAGGACGAGGATGACCAAGAGGACGAAGAAGTGGCGGAAGAGAACCGCGACGAACGATTAGAAAACGCGGAGAACCTGAAGATCTCGACGGAGAAGATGAGTGGAGGTGTTCACCGGTTGCACGTCGAGTTCGACGACCTCTCGGTGGTGGACGAAGAGGAGGAGCTGAAGAAGGAGAAGGACAGGAAGGAATCATGTACTCGAGAGAACGAAGCCAAACCTGGGGGCCCTAAGACAGACGTAAAGAGTGGGTATCGATATTTTGGTTTCGAGACTCTTCAGGGTCCTCTTCAAAGTCCTCTCCAGGGCGCTCTTCAAGGGTCCAGCAGATACCAAGAGTGCCCCTTCGTCTTCCCAAGCCCAGGAGACCCGAATTACCCGAAGGTCCACCCCGATACCGCCACATTGCTGATGACCCCCTGTTCGACACTCGCCGGAAGTCAACTAACCCCAATTCCGAGTGTGGACTCTTCAGGGTTGGGATCACTGAGTCCGATCTTCGGGTCCAACGAGCCCATCCTAGGGTACTCCCAAATTCCGATCTGCACACCTCCCGTGGGGTGGCAGAGTGCACTGACCTCGGATATTCCAGGGTCTGGTGTCGACCTTGAAGTTGGTACCAGAGTCCCAGTGACTGGTACCAATGGTTCCAGTTTTACAAACGGTTCCAATTGTACCAGTGGTTCGATTCCAGGACGACCAAAGCGTTCTCCAGCCGGAAGTGGAGGTTCCCCTTGCTTCTGGCAAGCCAGGACCTTGAGTGGAAGCGACGAGACACCCATCAGCTGGACGAATGGAACCACTGGTACCAACGTCATAAAGTCTGGATCCCCGAAAACACAGACCCAGGAATCAGGATCAAATCCCTTCTTCGGGAACGACTCCACCCAGGACATTACAGGGTCCTTATCGAGGTCCTGTTGCCACGGGACTCTTCAGCAAAGGAGGAATCTTTCGCTTCGATGCCTTGGGAATGGGCACTATTCAACTCCCAGGGATAAAGGGGAAGTCCTCAGCAAGGACTTCTGGGACCTTGACGGAGCAAGTGGACTGGAGAACGGAGGAGCCAGGAACGGGATGACGGAGAAGGACCCAGAAGAGGTGGGCAGGGATTCGAGGGACAGGCCTAGGCATTTCTTCGCACCCCTGCCCTCGAAGACTAAGAGGCACTCCCAGGACGACAGGAGCCCGGAGGATCTTCAGGGTACGGCCTTCAACACGGGAACGAGTTCCAGCAGCGACAGGACGACGTCTACCGTGGTGTCCAGGACGCACCACCAGGAGGAGAAGGGACCAGCGGACGTCTTCGTGGACGGCGGGGTCTCCGCCGAGGAGGACCCGTTCAGGGTGGACCAGAAGACCTTCCTCAGCACCGAGAACCTCCGAGTGGACGACGTGAGGGACATCTCCAGGCAGGGCTCCAACAACACCCTGGTCAAGTCCCTGTCCTGCCAGGACCTGGTCTCGGAGCAGCAGATGCTGAAGACCATCAACGGGGAGTCGCAGATGATGACGAAGAGCGACAACACCCTCGACAGCCTCTCCATCCTGGCTAAGCCATTTCGGAGCCAGCTCCACGTCACCCTGAAGAGGCCAAATCGGAGTCCCCCGAGCCCGGAAACGCCGGAGATCCCGAGTTTGCCCAGGATCGACTACAGGCTCTTCAGCAACCCTTTTTTGCGGAGCTTCGACAAGAGCTGCGAGAAGTGCTTGGCCTTTGGATGTCCCGTGACCAGGCCTTTGACTGTCCAGGTCAATGGATCTTTCGATAGGAGTGCCGATAGAGGTTATCCCAGTCCTCTGAGGAACTCTTCGGGTACTCCTGGAAGCGACTTCTGTCCAGGTCGCTTCGATGCTTCCGATCCTGGATCGTTGGCCGCCAGGGACCAAGGGGACCAGAGGACCCTGGTCCAGAAAAATCCACCTGCCTTCCAGGTAACCTCCTTCGAAGGACCCTGTCCCCAGAACCTGGTCTCTCCCTGCGACCAGGACACTCTTCGGGGTCTTTCCGCCAGCAGTCTCTTCGCACAAAACCGCAGGCTCTATCAGAACCTGCCTTTTGTTCCTCGCGCTGCGGGATTCGCACCTATCGCTTCTCCTCAAGGTATGACGTATACTGATAAAAATTCCCATTAGTGATAATAAATTCCTGGAAAAAAGAAATCCTGGCACAAAATTCCTGGAAAAAAAAAAATATCCTGGCAATATATATATCTTAGGATGGTTTTTCCTCGGCATATAAATGACTAATAATTCCATAATTCCAGGATTGCCGACGACGGTGACGAACAGGATCTACTTCGAGGGTCCTGGGACAAAAGTGCCAGCCCAGACGCAGACCTCCCTAGAAGTGGACCCCCAGGTCGAGAAAGAGTCCTCGAAACCCGGAGAAGCCGAGACACCAAGTGTCCCGAGTTCCCCGGTGACCCTGAGGAGAAGGAAGACCTCGAGAAAGGATAGGTCAGGGTCGGCAAAGGACAAGCGACCTCTCTCTCCTGCTGCCCAAAGGAGAAGAGAGAGATTGAGGAAGCAGAGCAGCGTGAATTCCACGGACGCGACCGACGAGCAGACGCCGAAGCCGTCCCTGAGGACGACCCTGAGACCGAGGAAGATGAGCGCCACGACCACGACGACCACCTCCGAGGTGCAGGAGAAAAACGAGAGCAGGTCCTCCTCCTCGGGGCAGGACTCCCCCAGGAAGGAGCAGAACAGAAGGGTGTCCTTGTACTTCGGCTCCAAGAAGAGGCCTTCCCTCACCTCCACCAGGACCCTGAGGAGCGCCAGTTTGGACTCCCCGAAGACGAAGTACCTCCTAAGAGGTGACACCCAGGAGGTCACCTCGACCAACTCCGAGGAGAGGACCAACTCCATCAGCAGCAGGGAAGTCTCCAAGGAGAGGAAGATGAGCACCGGGAGTGGAAAAGTGCCCTGGTGCGCCTGCTGGGGAAATGGGTGCATCTGACCCTGGAGATGATCTTCATGACAAAAATGATTTTTTCTTCCCAATGAAAAAAATCCCCGATTTAAAAGGGGAAAAAAAAAACAAAATCACGGTTTACGTAGGAATTTATTTAATTAAATGAACAATCGCTGATTGATGAAACGAAAAATCTTAATTATTAATGATGATCGATGGATCGAAGTGCTCGATAAGTGAACAAATGGACGAATAATTATATTAAGACGTTGATGAAGTCGCCAATGTGTGCGAATCGATGTCGAACTATTAACGAAATTATTTAATAACTCCGACCAAGGTGTTGAGGAAATCGCAGCTGTTAGTTGATACCCTAAAGTTCCTTAAATATATTTATATGTATGTTGTACGTAGGTAGATTCTGCAATTATAGAGCCCGATATCAATGATATCAAACGCCGCCCCGTGAATCAATCGCCTTAACCCTTTGCACTCGATTGTCAAGTCTGAATCTGAATAACTGTTTAATAACTATATTAACAAATTGTTAACAATCCAAGGGGGATAAATTGTTACCCAGAAACATTTTATCCAATTTTCTGATACTTTGGCGACATACCACAGAGACGCGACACGGGAACCCCCTCTGGCAAAATCAACCCCCGATTTTCCCCGCGGATGGGAAAGCGATTTTTCCACCCCGAGTCGCGAGGTTATAGGAAAATACTAATTTCCGGTCCCGGTCGACAAATACGGGGAGAGAGGTCCCTCTTCCCGTGAAATTCCCGGCTGATCCCGAAGCTCTCATCCCGGCCGTGTAAACATTACGTGCACGCGCATAATACACCACCGGGTTTACACCCCATAGGAATACCCGAGGCCACCCTCGACTCCCCCAAAACCACCCTCCCATACCCCGGGAAAAATCAAACCAATAAACCGCGATCGAATGGCATCGAATTAATTGGATCAAAATTGGGGATCAAATGATGTGTCTGGATTCCCTGGAAAAAAAAATGAAAAATAGGAAAAATGGAATTATGAAAAAAAAAAAAAATGGAAACAAAATCGACTTTCAGGGAGTACTGAATAAAATCAAGCCAATCGACCGCGAATTAAGGGCATCGAATTAATTGGATATAAATTCAGAATGAAATGATATGTAGGAATTCCGAACAAGGATTTGAAAAATGGAATTATGAAAAAAAAAATGGAAACAAAATCGACTTTCTGGGAGCACTGAATAAAATCAAGCCAATCGACCGCAAGGATTTGAAAAATGGAATTATGAAAAAAAAAAAATCACTAAAAATTCGGAGAAAAAAAATTAAAAAGAGAAAACGTCGGAGAGGAGATTCGAAAATGGGGATTTTATTAAAAGTGCCGACGCGACCCCTGACCCAGGAAGGGTGCACCGGGAGGGAAGTGCAGCTACTTACGGATGCGAAAGTGCACTTAATGGCGAAATAGGTTAGCAAAGTGGAGAGCGGAAAAGGACTGGATCGTCGTCAAAGGAAAATCGGGCAGTTTTCCCGCAGGAAGCCCGGGATATATAATAAGGCTCTTAAGCTTCCAACAAAGAGGGGCTGCAATTTTCACGAGGCGATCCCGTCACCCCTAAGTGCATCCCCTGCATTTCCAAAATATATCCCAACGAACCCAACCTCCACTTTTATAATTCCTTCCAACATCAATCTGAACTTTAAACATCCCTTATCCTTAATCTCGATATTAAACATTACTCCTATCTAATATTAATTTTCAATACCCCCTCCTTCAGTCCCCACGTCCAATGTGATTAATTTTTTATTTCACCGCTGAACATCATTTCCTTTCATTTTAAGCGTCATTCGTATTCACCCTTAATCCCAAATATTATGCTCTTAAATTTTTAAACCCCGACCTCCTTTAATTCTCCTCTAAAAACGTCACTCCCTTTTACCTTCAATTTCGACATTAAATGTTAACAAAGGGAAGGTCCAAATCTCCAGAACGAGTGAATTAGTAGCACAGGGGGTGGAAAAGAATTCCGAAGGGGGTGTCAAAGGGTTCCCCGGGAATATAATAAGACTCTTAAGCTACCGGGGGTGTAAAATGGGGGGTGCAATTTGGCCGGCGTGAACCGGGCCCCTTTTCTTCCCTTTTCCTCCCTTTTCCACCCCCATTTCGCTTTTCTCAGGACCGAAGTGCAAACGCAGTTTATGCCACGCGACGTCCCCATGAAAGCCGAGCCCGTGCAATTAAAATGTAAATTATCCCTTTTACCTCCCTTACACCCCACCGCCCCCCCTCCACGGCCACCGAAATTGCGCCCTTCATACATATATATATATATATGCGGCCACCGAGAAAAAAAAAAAAATGCCACCGAACCAGAGAAATATTTCTTTGAACGGTACCGACAAATTTCCTCAATCCGAGCACTCGAAGTATTTTAGAAATATTCGATGGAGGGGTTATAAAAATTTTAAAAAAAGAAGCGGAGAGAGGTAGGGAAAAAAGAGCTTTTCGAAATCCCCGTGGGGACGCGCATTACGGGAAGGGGGGGGTGGGAGGAGGAGGATATTCCAGGGGGATTTATTAAATTAATATCACGTAATTGGATTAAGGGACGACCGCGATCGAGCAATTACAGGAAATAATGAGAGAGCAGGGACCCAGAAGGATGGGGGAAGGGAGGTGAAAAAGGGAAACGCGAGAAAAGTGGAGGGAGAAACAAAACGGGGGGGATGGGGGAGAAAAAAAAAGTGGATAAAATGGAAAAGTGGGGAAAAATGAAAACATGGAGAAAAAAAAAAAAGATGAAGAAGGACCGGCGGTGCGAGCCGATAGAGAATTTTAACGAAGGACCCCCCGGGGACCCGCGAATCCTGCCAATCGAGAAAACTCGTCCTTATCGCCAAACGGGAAACCCTGCGAGAGGGAGAGAGAGAGAAGCATAGGGGCCGCAACGGGAGAGAGAGAGACGGCGATGGTCCCCCCACGTTTCTCGATCCTTGCCAATTAAGGCGGCATGGAAGTGCTATGTACATATCGAAACGTCAAAATGTTGATAAAACTTGGTTTATTATTTGGAACGACCCTCTCGTGTCACCTTAAAAAGGTAGAAAGGGGGGGTTTCTTAAACGGATTTCGGGGAGAAGGGGGAAAAATAAAAAAAGAAACATCGCCACGAGGGGAGGCCATTACCCCCCCGAATGACCAATAATTTATATCGAGGGAGGGATAATCGACGTCCCGGGGGTGAATCGCCCCCGGAGGACCCTAGGAATCCGGGGGAGAAAAAGTTCCGGCGTTTAAAAGCCCCAAAGGGGTAATGGACCCCGACACTTCCGATCGGAATGCACGCCACTCCCCCTGAAGCACCCCCCTTCGTACCCAAGAGAAATCGCCTTATTTCAAAAAATTTCACTCGAATAAACTGACAAGAATTATCATAATAAAAAAAAAAAACATGCATTCAATTCATTCCAGTTTAAACAAAATATCTCTCCTAATTGACGAAACATTTTCCCATTCATCGGAGCTCATTTCATTCCCCACGGTGAAATTTACACTTTACCCCATGAATTATTAAATATTAATGAAAATGGGGGTGGGGTGCAAAAAATTGTCAATTCAAGAATAGACTAAATAAATCCAGCGAAAACGGGGGGGGGGGCGGTGGTGATAAGAGGGGAAATCGTCTCTTTACTTTCGTACCCGCAAACCATTCGGGGGTAATCACCCCCGGGTTTTCGCGACCCCATCAGGGGGGGGGGGTATAAAGAGAGGGGCGAGGGGGGATTCGCGCGTCGATACGAGCGAGCGATAAATCCGCGGGGTACATTCGCAATGGCCGGTGTAATTTCCCGAAGAGACGACCCCCTCCCCCTCCCCCTCCACCCCCTCAGGGCGAGATGCAGAGAAGGCGACTTAATTGAATCGCCGAGATAAATCCACCGAGTGTCCGCAATTACCGAAATTGCAGTCCCGGTTTCTAGGGGAAAACGGAAGGGAGAGAGGAAAAAAAGAAGTTTCGCCAAACGACCGCGAAGCCGAGGAAAACGAGTAAATCGGTGGGTGATAAGAGTTTCCCGCGTATCGGGAAATTCTTCACCCCCAGGTGTGAAGAGAGAAGTGAGAAAAAACAAAAAATAGGGAGGAATTGCCGTGAGTTTCGAGAATTCGAGGGAATGTCTAGTGGGATTAGGGAGGTGTAAAAAAAAAAAAAAGGAGAAAAGGGCGGAATAAAGAGGAGTACCGAGCCGTGTAACGAGCGGCCGTAAAGACAGCAGGTGAGAATATGTCGGACGTTATGGAATTTTCCGGGGAGCCGTTTCACTGCTAATAAAAGGAAGGGAAAAGAAAAAAAAAAGAAAAAGTCGGGGTGAAGATTTATGATATCGACCTAAACCTTATTTAACAAATGACGATTTGACATCCATCGTTTCGCTCGATCCGAAGGAGCGAAAAAAAAAAATAAAAAAAATAAATAAATGAGGAAAAGGGGTGGGCCAATTTTCCTGACAATTTTTCCGGGCTAAACGTTGAAATTCCCTTGGCGTTTTTGAGCTCGGAGATCCCCGTGGGGATATCTCGGGGAGGAAATAAAATAGGGGGGGAAAAAAGGAAGGATATGTAACGAGGGCCCGTGTTACGCCGTAAAAAGCAAAGGGCGAGAGTGTCCACCCTTATACGAGTGTCCGGGGAGGCCATTATACAGGGAAGCCGTGTTTCGCCAGGGTTATTCGGTTATACGGCTGTATGGTTATACGGTTATGCGGTTATACGAGTCTCGTCCACCCGGAAACTCGGCTGTTCCATTACCGAGAGCCATTCCTCGAAACCGCAGCTCAACCCCTTCTTTTACCTTCCTCTTACGGCCGGATGTCAAAATCCCGCTCGCGATATTCAAATGATATCTAATTACGATAATCGTGAAATTAGATTGGATCGATCGTGAGATCGGTCCTAACAATTAAAATTATTCATATAAATTATGAGGATGATTTCATTAATCGTGAGATCAAGTACACCGATTATGAAATTAATCATATCAATCGAGATGATGATTTCATTAATCGCGAGATCAGCTCTACAAATTATGAAATTAATTATGTCAATCGTGATAATGATTCCATTAATCGCGAGCTCAACTCCAACAATTATGAAAATAATTATATCAATCGTGATAACGATTTCATTAATCGCGAGCTCAACTCCAACAATTATGAAATTAATTAAATCAATCGTGATGATTTCATTAATCACGAGATCAGCTCCCCCAATTACGAAATTAATTATATCAATCGAGATAATGATTTCATTAATCGCGAGCTCAACTCCAACAATTATGAAAATAATTATATCAATCGTGATAACGATTTCATTAATCGTGAGCTCAACTTCAACAATTATGAATCTAAT